GGGCCCCTGCTGACCACCTGGGCCCTGAAGCTGGAGTTTGTAACACCCGTGTATTAAGCCACTGAGATATGTTTGATCCTGACCAACATTCCCCCGGCTCCCCAGGCCAATATATATATAGCTTGATTTTAGAGAGAAAGGAAGAGGGAGAGAGGAATAGAAATATGAACAATGAGAGACAAGAGAGAACTATTGATCAGCCTCCTGCAGGCCAAAAACACCGGGGATCAAGCCCACAACCCGGGTACTGCCGGAAGCCGGTCCATCCTTGCTGCTTGACAAAGTTGCTGCAGGGAAGAAACATCTGCACAGCTTACGTTTCAAGGGACCTGGCGTATATGGCATACTGTTCTTAATATGTTTGCTCCCCTTCTTGGCGCTATGTGTTTTAACCAAGGTCACCTCTCCGAGAAAGGTTGTTTCCCCAGGTAGGGATTTCTCCCTGAAGTTAGGGATAGAGCTCCCTTTGAGCTGTCCTCCTTTTCCGCAAGAATGGCACTGTCCAAGAGGGAGCGGGAGGAGCTGAAACCATGGAGAGGGAAGACGGTGAAGAGGGTACTAAGTTTCTCAGAGCCCACGGTGGTCACAGCAGCGCTGAACGGTGTGGGGAAGGGCGTGGACAAGGAGAAAGCAGCTGACCATCTGAAGCCTTCTCTTGATGATTCTCTCCGATTCGTGGACAAACTGTTTGAGGCTGTAGGGGAAGGCCGAAGCTCTAGACATTCCAAGTCTAGCAGTGACTGGAGCAGAAAACGAGAGCTAAAGGAAGTGTTTGCTGATGACTCTGAGAAATCCAAGGAATCCTCAGGAGGGAAGAAGCGACGGATACCCTGTGTTGAGGAGGTGGACGAGGAGCCAGAAGTGATCCCTGGGCCTGCTTCAGAGAGCCCTGGCATGCTGACTAAGCTCCAGGTCACACAGACGATGGAGGCAGCAACTCGACAAATCGAGGAGAGACAGAAACAACTGAGTTGCATGAGCCCCCCTACAGCTCAGCCAAAGACTCCTTCTTCCTCCCACCCAGAGCAACTTCCAATTGGCAGCACTATTCAGGCCGCCACTTCCATGAACGATGCCATGGAGAAGGCAAGGAAAGCAGCTGAACTACAAGCCCGCATCCAAGCCCAGCTGGCACTGAAGCCAGGGCTCATTGGCAATGCCAATATGGTGGGCCTGGCCAATCTTCATGCCATGGGCATTGCTCCCCTGAAGGTTGAATTAAAAGATGAAACTAAACCTACACCACTGATTCTCGATGAGCAAGGTCGCACTGTAGATGCAACAGGCAAGGAGATAGAGCTGACACACCGAATGCCTACTCTGAAGGCCAATATTCGTGCGGTGAAGAGGGAATAATTCAAGCAACAGCTTAAAGAAAAGCCATCAGAAGACGTGGAATCCAATACCTTTTTTGACCCCCGAGTTTCAATTGCCCCTTCCCCGCGGCAGAGACGCACTTTTAAATTCCACGACAAGGGCAGATTTGAGAAGACTGCCCAGCGGTCACGGACAAAGGCTCAACTGGAAAAGCTGCAGGCAGAGATCTCACAAGCAGCTCGAAAAACAGGCATCCACACTTCAACTAGGCTGGCTCTCATTGCTCCCAAGGAGGAGTTAAAGGAAGGAGACATTCCTGAAATCGAGTGGTGGGATTTATATCACCCCCAATGGCTTTGACCTCACAGAGCAAAATCCCGAGAGAGATGATTACTTTGGAATCACAAATCTTGTTGCACATCCAGCCCAGCTCAACCCTCCAGTCGACAGTGACACACCAGTTGCTCTGGGAGTATAGCTTACCAAGAAGGAACAGAAGAAACTTCGAGGGCAAACAAGGAGGGACAGAAGGAGCTGCCAGAGGAAGTCAGGCTGGGCCTGATGCCTCCTCCGGAACCCAAAGTGAGAATTTCTGATCTCATGCGAGTATTAGGAACAGAAGCTGTTCAAGACCCCACGAAGGTAGAAGCCCATGTCAGCTCAGATGGCAAAAAGACAGAAGGCGCATGAAGAGGCCAACGCTGCCCGAAAACTTACAGCAGAACAGAGAAAGGTCAAGAAAATTAAAAAGCTTAAAGAAGACATTTCACAGGGGGTACACATGTCTGTATATAGAGTTCGAAATTTGAGCAACCCAGCCAAGAAGTTCAAGATTGAGGCCAATGCTGGGTAACTGTACCTGACAGGGTTGGTGCTACTGCACAAGAATGTCGATGTGGTGGTAGTGGAAGGGGGCCCCAAGTCCCAGAAGAAATTTAAGCATCTTATGCTGCATCGGATAAAGTGGGATGAACAGATATCTACCACAAAGGGAGAGGATGAGGAGGAATCCGATGAGGAAGCTGTGAGGAAAACCAACAAATGTGTACTAGTCTGGGAAGGTACAGCCAAAGACCGGAGCTTTGGGACATGAAGTTCAGTGCCCCACAGAGAGCATGGCTCGGGAGCATTTCAGCAAGCACAGGGCTGAACACTACTGGGACCTGCGCTAAGGGAATCGGTGTTGGAGTCTGCTGACTGAGACTCCTGCCAGCCCCTGCCTCCACCCTCTTGCCTATGTCTCTTCAGTCCCCCTTATGCTACTTCCCAGCCCAGCCCACTGTGTGTGTGATCTCAGAACGGCGCCACGCTGACATTGGGGCAAAGGGAGAACACATTGCTCTCTTCCCCTGTCAGCCTGGGGCTGCCCTTTACTCCCCGTATGTGCATATGATTAAAGAGTCACTTAAAAAAAAATTCTGATGACCAGGACGCCAAGCGGGATTCCCTTGAGGAGGGGGAGCTGAGGGAGCACCGCATGGAGATCACAATCAGGAACTCGCCCTACAGGAGGGAGGACTCCATGGAGGATAGACGAGAGGACAATGATTCTTTGGCTTTCAAACCACCCCAGCAAATGTCACGGAAAGAGAAAGCTCATCACAGGGAAGATGAGAAAAGAGAGAAACGTAGGCATCTAGTCATTCAGCAGAAGGGGGCAAGCGCGCCAGAGTGAAGGGGAAGGAGAGAGAGCAGGAGCACTGGAAGCGGCACCGAGAGGAGCAGGACGAAGCTCGGAGCTCGCCAGGTGTAGGAGAAGTGGGAGATGGCGAGAGAGCATTCCAGGAGAGAGAGGCACCGCCTGGAGCAGCTGGAAAGGAGCGGGAGTGGGAGCACAAGCTGTGGGAGCAGCAGCAGTAGCAGTGGGAGCCTGTGGGTCAGACCCGGTCCTGCCCGGACGACGGGCTGCTGGGACCCGGGCTGCAGTGACGTGGCCTCGAGTTGAACTGCTGGCCTCATTTTCCACATTTCGTTTCTATTTCGTCTGGGCTTGTAAATTTGTAAAATTAAATCTTATTTCCTTGTGGGAAAAAATCCAGAAAAAAAGATTAAATGAATGCGTGTGTGATTGAATTTCAAGTGAGCAGGTGCAGCTGTGTGGCCCCACGCGGAGACAGGGCCAAGCGGAAGCCATGAGAAGGGCGAGTCCCCAGGGTGCGGAGGGAAGGAAGTGCATCCACAGGTCCGCGTGTGTCATGGTAGACGCCTGAGGACATGAGAACAGATCTGTTATCTTCTGCAGAATAACGTTTCCAAAGTTAGTTTCAAACGGGACAAGCCACGGAAGCTGGGCCTTTCGGTCAGGACTCTGCTTTATTGGGGGCTGTTGGGGCTACCCCACAAGGTGGGAGCAGCCAGGTCGGCTAAAGGAGGAGGATGACCATCGGCATTTACAGAAGGAGTTGGGGTCCATGAGGACCCGCCCCTCGTGTTCTCTGCTTCCAAGTCCTGAGTTACCAGGTGGCAGCCGGCAGGTGTCTCTGTGTCTGTCATCAGTAAAGGTCTCTCCATGAAGCCGCAGGAGTTAGAAAGACAGCGGCTAACAACCTGAAAGTGCGGTCACCAGAGGGACGGAGACAGGAGCCAACCCAGAGATTGGCTGATGTCAATAAAAAGAAGAGTCTTATTTCCCCACATCTCTTCTGAATCATCTCACCAGAGGGCACCCCATGAGCTTTGCAAATAAATGCAAGTCAGTTTCTCTGCAAGTCTGCGCGCAGGCTGCTTCCTACTACATCCCAGAGCTCACCCTTTTCCCTTTTCCCACGCCCCTTCCCTAGCATCTTCTATGGGACGAATTGGGGGTCATCGGCATTATGCTTTGAGCCTGTCGTTTTCAAAATCCCGGCCTGAAAGTTCCCCACAGAGAGCAGGCAGTTCCGAAGCCGAGTCCTTAAGGCTCCTATAGAGCCCGCATTACCGATGCCTAACTGCCCACCTTCAGATCTGTCCTATTTAGGCGTCTGTTATTATTCAGCTGTACCCACACCCAGCAGAACGTAAGCCTCGCTAATTCACCTAAAATCCCCTCCCCTTGGCTCAGGCACAGGCCTGCAGGCTCTGAATTCCTGAATTGCACACAAGGGTGCTGCACTTCGGTCTTAAAGGAGCAGGCCCTGAGAATTGGTTTTCTGGTGAGGGTCAGGATTTCAGAGGCAGCAGTGGTGAGGCACTCGCACTCCATACCACGTGTGGGGGGGAGGACCTCCGGTGGGTGTCTGTTCCCAACAAGCAGGTAGGCCCACCTCCTGGCTGCCCAGCCTCCCTGGCCAGTCCCCTGGCCTCCCAGGGACGCTGCTTTTCCTGTTTCAGCAACAAGGAAGTGATATGCCGCTCCCCCTGGGGTGTATCTGAGAATAAGATCTTATCTTGCATACCTTAGCCTCTATCCTACAGGCTTCAGCTGCTGGCTGAACTCCAAGGTCTCCTCTAACCTGGGGCTTAATTTTTATACCTTCTCTGGGTGTGGGAGGAACTGCAGCTGGCCACCTAACTGCATTCTTTTGAAACGTGGGTCTACCCGTGTCCAAGTAGAGCCACACGTGGGAACCTCACGAACAGACTGTGAACGACTGTAACTTATGCAACTCTGGCCTCACTTGCAAAGAGCACATTGTCTCCGTGGGTTTTTCCTCTAGTTTCCTTCCCAGGCTCATGACACAGCTTCCACCAGAGATGGGAAACACCCTACAAGACGCAGGAGCCACAAGAAGGAAGGAAGGGGCCTCGTCCTGTATAACTTCAGGGACCAGGGCTGCCCAACAGCCTTTGTTGCCGGGGAGACTGTGAGACCTTAGTTCTTGTCTCTCTCCTTTTTTTTAATCCTCACCTGAGGATATTTTCCCCATTAACTTTTTTTAGAGAGAGTGGAAGGGAGGGAGAGAGACAGAGAGAGAAATATTGATGAGAGAGACCATCAATTGGTTGCCTTCTGCACCACCCAACCTGGGCCAGGGGTCAAGCCTGCAACCAACGTACAAGCGTTTAACAGAACTCAACCCCGGACTCTTCAGCCCACGGGCCGACACTGAGCCAACCTGGCTGGGGTTGTTCTTGTCTTTTTTTTTTATGTATATTTTTACTGATTTCAGAGAGGAAGGGAGAGGGGGAGAGAGAGAGAAACATCGACGATGAGAGAGAAGAGAGAATCATTGATCAGCTGCCTCCTGCAGGCCTCCTATTGAGAATCAAGCCCGCAATCCAGGCATGTGCCCTTGACTGGAATCAAACCCGGGACCCTCAGTCCGTAGGCCGATGCTCTATCTCTGACCCAAACCAGGTAGGGCTTTGTCTTTTTAAAGGAAAGATTTCAATTGAGAGACAGAGTGTAGGAAAGAAAGAATTTATACTGAGGACAGTGTCTTAGATTAGAAGAAGCAACAGGACCGCCAAGGTGGGGCCGCCGCTTTGGCTGGCTGGAAAGTCAGAGAAAAGGGCACCTTGGAGACAGGCTCAGGGGGGTTTCCCGGGACGAGCTGCTGCTGCCCACTGCTCCCCTGGTTGCAGGTCTCGTGGAGTCCCTTAGAGGTGAGGGGACACGCGCCTGTGGGGGAATAGCAGGGGCGAACTCTTCAGAGGGAGAGCGTGCGTGCCCCGGGCCCTTCATCCGAGGGTATTTATCTCCATCCTGCAGGTGGAAACCTCAGGAGAGGCCGCAGGGGAGGGTCTAGGAGAAGATTCAGCGCTTTGCAGGTGTGCTCTTTCGGGGTCATGGTCTCCCGATTGGTCGGTGCAGGGCAGGGGTCATTAGTCAATGCAGCTGGGCCTGAGGCAGCCATTTACTTGGGTTTTTTGCTTTTCTGGGCCCGGAGCTGGAATACAACTGAGGCCCAGATGTCACCTCTAGGGAGGAAAAAGTCAGGGTGTCCAAGCGATGTGCTGGGGGAGGAAAGGCCACCCCGGGGGTGTGAGTCTTGTTTTTCCAGTTTTGCCCCCTGCTAGGCAGCCGGGCTTTGGGCCCTGGCGAGGTCTGTGCCTGGAGAGGTTCTCTCCCTGCTCTGCTCGTGTCTGGCTCACCGCCTATAACACTCGGACTCTTTGCCGTGGAACCTGAAAGAAGAATAAACTTCCTTTTCTAGAAGCTGCTCTCTTGAGGTCTCCATCAGCTTTGCCTTTCTCTGCTACTACGATAGCAGCTGAGGAACCCTAGGCAGGGAGCTCGTAATTAACACAGGAGATTACAGACCCACGCGGGGGACACCAGAGCCCCCTTCTCAGTGTGGCTTGTGTCCCCATTCTAGAAGGGGACGGACACCCTCAACGACATCTGAGCACTGTCACCAGGCACCAAAGAATCCCAAGTTCTGAGACCTCTGCCGGGTCCAGCCACAATCACATCACCTTTCAGTTGCCTCCATTTCGGGGTAGACGTGAGCAGAGCTAGGACGATGGACCAGGCACAGGCCACCAGGGCGAAAGCCCCGGGTGCCTAGCAATGGACCATTGCAGGTGGGACCTCTGGGGGCGACCTTTGCTCCCCAGCACATCGCTGACTCTGCGGTTGGGACCCCTGACCTTTCTTCCCTAGAGATAACCTCTAGGCCTCAGTTATATTTCAGCTCCGGCCCCAGAAAAGCAGTAAAATCAGACTAGTGACCCCAGGGCTGGCCTCAGGACCAGCTACATTGGATAATGACCCCCCTGCCAGGGCGTGGACCAATCCATGAGTGGAGACTTAGACCCTGAAAGGACCCACCTGGAAAGCTTCGGAATATTCTATTCAGATCTTCCCCTGGGACCTCTCAAATTTCCACCCTAAAAACCTTAGGACAGGACCCAGCACACCCTCCCAGGAGCACCCCAGGCTTCTCCCCTCCCCCTCCCCCTCCCCCAGGCAAGTCACTTTTACCTTCCCCACTCCTCAGCCCCAAGGGCCCTTCCTTTGCCTCTAGAACTTGTTTCCTACGCCCATTTCTCTCAATTACTGCTTCCACCTCTGTGATTTTATAAACAAGTATTCTCTTGTAGTTTGAGTCTTGGTTCTGAGTGATTTCCTAGCCAGAACTCAAGTACTGAGGTTGCTGCACCCAGATCTGGTCTGACACCTCCCAGCCCCACCCCACGGTCTAACACCTGATGCCATGCCGCAGCCCCAACCGTGTGAAGTCCATACATTCTGCTATTTCTGCCCCGCACTTTAAAATGCTTAGCTTTTGTCATTTTGACCACAATGTTTAGCAAATAGTTTTCATTGGTGACTGTTTCCTTCCTTACATCTTCCTTCTTTTTTTTTTTAAGATTTTAAAATTTTTAGCGAGGACGGGAGAGGGAGAGAGTGAAACATAGATTTGCTGCCTCTTGCAGGCCCCCAACTAAGGATCGAGCCTGGGCATGTGCCCTGACCAGGAAGCCACCGACGACCTCAGTGCATGGGAAGGTGCTCAGTCAAGCCACGCCGGCCAGGCTCTTCCCTCTTTGTTAAGGATTGAGTTCTTTTGTGACATTTCGGAGCTAATTAAGCTTTAATATAGGTATTCCTTTTCATCTGCACTTCTAGATCAGGAGTCGGCAAGCAGGCCATCTGTGTTGGAACCCGGGCCCACCCATTCACTTCTGTATCGGGGATGTCAGCTTTCACACTACAATGATGAGTAATTGACAGAGACCACATGAGCCAGAAAGCCAAAAATATTGACTATCTAGGCCTCTCCAGAGAACATGTGCCAGCCCCAGTTCTGGACCTACAACTGTTTTACTCGGATGTAACATTTTTATTATGTTAATAAATCTTTTATCTTTTAACCTGCTCATCTTTTATCGTAGTGTCACTCCTAACTTCCATTCTTTCTCTTTTTTATCCTTACCCCTCCTGCTTCAGTAAAGTTTAACAAGCTTTCGGTTTAACTTTTATCTTACCCACTTTGTAAACTTTGGTTAGCTTTGCTGAGCTTTTATCTTACCAGTTTTATCTTTTTAAGTTAATCATTGATTTCTTCATGACCTGGCACGTGATTCCCACGGCTCCCTTTTTACTTACTTACTGCAAGAAGTACAGTTGCAGGCAGAGATCACTGGGACGGATGCCCAACCAGACACTTCAGAGCTCCTCCAGTTGCGAGTTGTCTCTAGGGCCTAGAGTCTAGGCCAGGGGTGGGCAAACTTTTTGACTCGAGGGCCACAATGGGTTCTTAAACTGGACCAGAGGACCGGAACAAAAGCATGGATGGAGTGTTTGTGTGAACTAATATAAATTCAAAGTAAACATCATTACATAAAAGGGCACGGTCTTTTTTTTTTTTTAGTTTTATTCATTTCAAATGGGCTGGATCCAGCCCGAGGGCCGTAGTTTGCCCACGGCTGGTCTAGGCTGTGCCCACGGCGATCCCCTAAGCCCTACACCTGTGCAGGTGTCCTAACGTCAAAGCCACACTTCCTCCTGAGCACGCACACCTGCTGGCCTGTGGCCCAGCACACGGGGCCCAGGTCAGACATCAGGTTATTCAAAGAGCAGCTAAAGCAGTGGTTCTCCACCTTGGCTGCACATTAGAATCACCTGGGAATCTTCTTAAAATCCTGATTTCTGGGCCTCATCCTCCGGAAATTCTGTTTCTTTGTTTTG